TATGTTCATGTGTACATACTCTTTTTGCCCCCAACACACATTCTGCTATAATTATATCAGCAGAAAGTTGTGATCAAAGAAAATGCTCTCTCTCTCATTACGATTCCCCTGCAACTCTTCTTAGTTTCGTACCCAATCAGGAATAGGAAGTTCAGAGATGTGAGCCTAAGCAAAAGCAGGACATCTATCCCTAAAAGTTAATATAATCAATTATAGAGATATGTTGCTGGTTTGATGAAAAGTAGACTACTGTCTGTTTGTGTTCGAAACATTGGCACTGAATATAAAGAAATTATAAAAGTACTCAACCCAAAATTTTGGTCTTTTTCATTCCATGATGTAACATATGGAGAAGAAATTAAAAAAATTGTGTGAAAGGTTCCACCTAAATGAATAGAAACTTTAAGAGAATTTAGAGTTTTTAAAGATACTAATGGAATAGAATTTAATTCTGCATTACGGAAACTTTCGCAATCAATAAATTGTAAACCGGTTTCTAGTGCTGTGTGCGAGGGATTTTCCACAATGAACTTAATTTGCAAATCGCATCTTTCATTGTTAAAACTCTTTCTAATTTAATGTTCATTAGACTCCTCAGCCTTTCACTCAAAAACTTTCAGCCAGTAACATATACAGTGGTGGCCAAAATTGTGGACACTTTTTGAAATTTTTATGTTTTTGAAATTTGTATGCTTATAGAAAATGTTACGTTAAAGAGAATTTATTACTGAATTCAATACAAAACACAAAATTCAATTATTTGCAATACAAAAAAAGTTATATGTACTTGATTATAAATAAAAAAACACAGTTATGAAGTGGTTTGTAATGTCTAGATTTCCTGGCCAATCACTGTTCTTGTTCTGAGAATCAATCAAATGTTAGTAACTGCCAGTAGAAGCTGACATCATGTTTACACTTGAAACAATTCATTATTTTGCTTTGTTCTGTAGAAGGAGGACCTGTTTCTTATACACTGCAATTACAAGTAGGAATTTTTGTAAAAATTTTAATATTAGTCAAGAAGCAATGACATCAAATAAAAAAGAAATTGGACATCTAGAAAGATGTATATTATTGTGTTCGAGAAGGTGGTCTTTCCTATCCTGAAATTGCAAGACAGGTGGGTGGTTCAGTGACTACATGAGGAGTCCAAAAGTTTTGTTTACGATATCAGGAGACAAATTCAATAAAAAATAAAGAAGGAAAAGGCTGAAAAAGGTGCACTACATCTACTGATGACAGAAGAATAAAAAGAGTATGTCTCCAAGATAAAAAAATGTCATCAGCGGCCATCAGAAGTAATCTGAATGATGCTGGTGTTTCTGTCAGTTCAAGAACAATCAGGAGATTAACAGATGTTGGACTGAGAGGTAGAATTCCACGAAAAAAGCCTTATCTTAATTTTCAGCAAAAAAAAAAAAAAAAAAAAGACTTATAGTGGGCAAAGGAACACATTTATTTGACGGATGATCAGTGGTCACAAGTTATATGGAGGGATGAAACTAAGATATCGTTATTTGGTAGTGATGGGCGAAAATATGTAAGACATAGAATAGGAGAAGAGCTACATCCTGACTACATTCAAGCAACTGTAAAGAACCCAGTTAGTTGTTATGAGTTGATTGCATCTCAGCAGATAGTATTGGTCGCCTTCGTGTCATCGATGACACTGAATGCCAGAAAATACATTGACACTATTCTAGAACCAAAACTTCTACCTTCCACAGAGATCTCTTTCTCAACAATGTTCGTTTATTTTTAGCAGATTTGCTCCTTGCCACACGGCCAAAATATCGAAAGAGTGGTTTCGTACAAAGAGCATTAATTGTTGTCAGCGCCAGGAAACAGTCCTGACCTCAATCCATCGAAATTTGGCACCGTTTGAAAACTCTTGTCCGAATGAGGCGCCCATCAAATAAAAGGAAACTAATTGGGCTATAATTGTTTCTGTCATGTGTAACAGCGAAAGAAGAGCTAAAACTCTTGTCAGCTCAATGAAACATCCATGTGAGCTGTAATCAAAAATAAAGGGTACCCTACTAATTACTGAACTCATGCAATCATCACTAATATCGATAACTATTATCGTTTAACTTTTTTATATTGTAAATAATTGAATTTGTTTTTGTATTGATTCAGTAATAAATTCTCTTTAAAATGATATATACAGTTTACATTTTGTGAAACGTAATGTTTTCTATAAGCATACAAAGTTAAAAAACCTAAAAATTTCCAAAAGTGTCCACAATTTTGGCCACCACTGTATATGTTCAAGGCTAGCAACAGGTCATCATAATGCAGTGGACAGTCAGTCAAAACACAGAAAAAAAAACAAATAGAAGATCAGGATTTTACTGCATTGTGGACATTTCAGTGACCGTCTTCATAAACAATAGCACAAAAGTGATTGATTAATAGTATTAGAAAAATGAACCTCAAGCAGTTTAAAACTTAATAACAGCTCAGTTTCACAAAACATAAAACTAATTTATTTGAAAATCTGAATTTTGACTGTATTAAAAATGTACGTTTCAATGATAGCCATTAACTTATAAAAAACAGCTCTGTTTGCATATTATGTTTATATTTTATATTTCTAGCATTTATTATTAACAGTTTAGGGAAAAATTGCTTAATTTGTAATGCATGTGAAAAAATGCAGTACATCAATATTCCATAGTGTATATAAATTTTTTATTACGTTTTGTATTTCTGGTTTTACTTAGTATAATTTCTCATACTTTTTTTTAAAACACTTAAGAAAATATGAAGCTCAAAAATGTAATTCATGTTAATTTATTTAAACACTTGCACATATTTATATCATTCAACCTTCCTTTGATTTATGCACTGGAAAAAGAACAATTTAACGAATTTTTCTGTATGGCAGAATATAAGAAGTGTTCCGATAAAGATAGCTATAAATTCAAAATTTGAGGTGCTTTTTTGGAAGAAGCATTATTGTATGATATATTTTCTAACAAATGATGCAAATGTTAGATTTTTAAAAACAAGTACCATTGAATAGCAAATTCACTTATGAAATTGAACTTAACTAATTTAAAGCTTGTTAACAGTTTAGTTTAACAAACTTGGAACTAATTTATCAAAAAACCTGAATTTTTATATTTTTAAAATTTGCATGATTTCCCCATGTATTTTTATTTTATTTCCCTACACGTTGCATTATCTTTTTTTTCACGTTATATTATCTTTTTTTCTGGTATTCATAATTAAAAAGTTTAGAAGCTTAATTACTTTTGCTTAATTAAGAAACTAGAACAGTGCATTAAAACTAAAACTCACACTGTGCATAAACTTTTGTAATTATCTTTTAAATTTCTGCATATTTTAAAAACCTTTCAGCGATATGAAAAATTGAACTTCACTACCTTAAGTAACATCAAGAGCTCTAAGTCAATAATCATAAAACTGAAGTCGACGAAATGTAAAAGTCCAAATTGAGAGATACATTTGTCCTAATCCTAGTGAGAAGATATATGTAGTTTTGTGCATTTTGCATGATCATATTTTTAAATTTCTCAAAAAAATCACCCTTGAACAATTTCTTTTCCGGTAAATTAAAAAATCTGCTTAGGGCATACTTATGTTAAATATATCAATTTAAATGTCATGAAAATGCAATTTCTTAAAGAATTTTCAAGAGAATTTTGTGCAAAAATAAGATAATAGAATACTTAGCATTATTTTATCTTTTAGTAACAGTTCTTAATAAAAAGCTTAAATTTCAGGAGCACATACTAATCTTTGGCATATTTTTCCACTATTTCAAGCATAAATTTTGGAAATAATTTTATAAGAATTTAATGGTCATTATTAAAAATCGAAACTTTTTGGATAAAATTTAATTTTCAAAATATAGCTGGTGTGAAGATAAATAAAATTTAAAATTTTGTTTAAAAATGTAACTATTAATTTTTGCATTTCTGTAGAAAAATTATTTAGGATAAACATTTATCCAGATATGATGATCAGTACTGATTAACTGAATTAAAAGCATATATCACAATTACGAAAAAAGTGAAATTTATTATTTACAGAACTTACTCACCTTTTATCCTTCATAACATACCATATTATTAAATTTCTCACATAACAATTGTTTCATGACTAATTCAATTTTTATAATATATTCAATACATATTTGATTCATAGTTTATCACTTATAACTTATTTAATAGCTATTAATAATGTATTTTATTAACCCAAAGAAGAATTAGGCCAGAAGGGCTATTATTATTCTTGAAACTGCATTTTGCCTCAGTTCACTATGAACAGGGCAGCACTTTTTAAATTGTTGCCACCAAATATTATTGCCCTGTATTCTATTTAACGAAATTAAATAATGAAGAATCTGCATGAATGTATACATGTTTCTCCTATTGTGAAAAAAGAGGATACCTTGAGCCATCAGTTTTTTGAATAATGTAATCCTCCACCCAAACATAGGCCCAAATTTTCAATTTTGAATTTGTTTTATTATATATTTTGTATTTTGTAAAACTTTAAAATGAATACTGGATTAACAAACTCAACGATTTCAAAGCGAGCAATGGCAACACTGAACAGAGAAGGGGGAAAAATTATCTTCAGCGTGCAAGACTGTCTAGCAGAAATTCTAAAGATATGCTGTTTTTAAATATTTTGTGATATTGCTGTTGAATTGAATTTCATGTGGTTTAAGAGTGAAGAACATGATATTTAATACATAAAGGTAAGTCAAAAAACGTTAAAAAAAATGCCCCTTTAGGCATAATAAAAATGCAGATGTTGCAGTTTCCCTTTTCCTGCTTAGCACTTTTTTAGAAATATTCAAATTATAAACAAGATAATATGCCTTTATACACGTTCATGAACACTTTTTACATGTTCCTTTGTCTGGTAATAGAGGTTACTAAATATAGATCAGTACAAACAAGTAGATAACAATATTGAATTTCCAATGAGTGATTTAAAAAAAAAAAAAAGAATATACATACAACTCTAAAATTTTTATTTCTGGCTGCTACCAGAGCAGTTACAGTATAAAAATTAAGTATAAAATACATTAGATGAAAAAAAGAATCACAAATAATGTATGCTTTGAAAATACAGCATGACTTCAACTTTTATGTACAACATTTTAAATATTATATATACAAGCTTTTAAATATATCTATATACAGAACTCACTTCTACTTTAAATTATTTTATTGCAAAAGAAATATGACTTTTAAATATACATGGAAAAGGACTATTCATGATGAATGCACATTTACACTCAGGTAAAACAAATAAGATCTTATTTTTATCTAAAAATAAAAATCCTTGAATATCACTTGAGCTGAACTAATATGATTCAGCAGAATGTAACATACATTTCTAACAACTTTCATAATAAAGCAATACACATTTGGCTTAAAATTCTGTTGGAAACAGATACATAATTTTTTGACTAAATATTTTAAGTTTTCAAAAATTCAATCACAAAGTGTCCTTTCCTTTTTCTAAATCTGTAACTAAAATTCATATTAATTAAAACTTGAAAGAAAAATAATGTTTTGTTCTTAATCTTTCAAAACATCCCATCATGTATTCCAATAGGCACAAGAAATAAAAAAAATATTGTAACATTACGGACAAGATATTTCCAGTCGGCAGGTACAGCATATTTAACAAGGATATCAGTTAAAACATGAATTTCATGGGCAACACAAATGAAAATGAAAGATGTCACTAATGCATTAAGAACAGGGTAACCAGGAACTAATACCAAAACTCCATGTGTGTCAGCAGCAAGCCATATGTGATACTGAGCAATAAAAAGCTATATAGGAAGAAAGATATTAGAATTTACAAGAATATGACTATTACAATCAGGGGCAGCCAAAGCCAGTGCAATCGATGCGGCCATACTGGCCAATGGAATTTAAATAAATGTGCTAAAAGTTCAAAATCTCGGGATGTACAAAGTGGCAGTATTTAGGAACCGCAGAGATTGCACTGGGCAGCAAAACGTCTAGTGCCAGCCCTGATTATGATTAAAAAGCATATTGAAAACAAATCTTAGTGAAACATACATAAAGATATACATGATTTAAAATTTTTAAAAAGAATATGAAAGCTTGAAGGAACAGCTTTCTATAAATCTTCTGATTTAAAAAATTATCCTTGAATATAGGTATTAAAATAAATGATTATAAGCTAAAAGCATCTATCTATATGGAAAAGAAATATGTCAATGTAAAATGCAGCCCCCAGACTTAACTGGAATTCGAGCTTATAAAAATTTTCTCAATTTCAAGCAATAAGTGATATGGGTCTCCCAGTTTCAAGAACAACAAAAAACAAATTGTTCCCCCTTTACAGATGGGGAGTCCATGCCATTTCAAGCTCAACATTTTTAAATATTTAGATTAATCTAATGTTCTTTTTTAAATAATTGAAGGAATAAAAAATTGCACTCATTAACAATACATTCATGCTTACATTGCTTTCTCATCTATTTTTTAATATTATTCATGATATTTAACCGTAACAGGGAAGGTCAAATATTGGGACAAAACCGGGGACGTGTGGTCACGGAGATCGCGTCTCGTTAAGGTTTAAATAAAATGTTCTAATCAAAATGTTAAAATTTTATTTTACCCATACATTCTATAAACACTTATCTTCGAACAGAAAAAAAAAATTATTTTACAAAAAAATCAATCAACACTAGGAACATCTTTTCTGCTTTTTTTATGAAAAACCACTTGCAAACGTAAATTATGCAAAACAAACCAGAATAACTATTACTTTTTATGAATAATAATAATTTTCCATTAATTTAACATGTGATTGATACATTCAGATGAAAAATACAAATATTATACGAAACATAAAAAAAAATCACAGTACCTTACTATCAGTAATACTATTGTGTTCTTGCAAAAGATATCAACTTACTCAGCTTATTCTTGTGCACATTCATGACATAATTTTTGTGTACATACCAAACAAACTGGTGTTTTACAACTTATGCATAAATATGAAGTTTTCAGTTCTTTCTTTTTCTCTAATATTTTGTTTGTGAAAAGGACTTCCCAAATGCTTTTAGGATCCGTATTTTCACCCAATTTTCCATACACTCTTAATCCTGGAAAATGAACTATATTATGTGCGGGAGTTCTCACATTTCGTTGAGGCTCAACAGATGACCATTGAAGCCGTTCCTCCCATAATAATATTTTATAGATGAAATGCGATTTAGTCTCTGGTTCAGTGCATTCATTGTCAAATTCAGAAAATTCTGATGTCGTGGAATGTGAACTTTCCTCTGCAAAATCTTCTTGGCATTCATCTTCATCGCTAAATTCACTTTCCACTTCATCAAGAATTCTTTATAGCACTTCTGCATAACGCGAATTAGAAGGATATATGATATTTCTCGGACCGAGTCTCAGAGCCGTGTTTCCACCTGGGACAGAAATCGTAACACTGAGAGGGAGGTGCGGTCTGACATACCGCTCTCAGACAATGGAGTAGAATTTCAAAATGAAGCAGGTGCAAAAACTGTTAGCCAATATGTGAGAATTTTCAATGTCACAAAAGGAGAAGCTAGCACGAGAATCCACTCAATCAGACTAAATATAGAATAGGGTGATAGGAACAACACCTGTAGCGGTCTCTGAAACCGCACCTCCCCAGTTACGGGTTAATTAATATTACTCAATTCTTAGTAAGCACTATTCTATTTCCACATTAAGCCTAGAGGCTGAAGAAATATAAGAATATATAAGCTTTCAGATTTTTATGCTTCACAGTAATAAAAGCAGATAAATGCAGACATGGATAAAAATTCCATTAGAATGCAGTACTGGATTTTGAAAAAGAATTGATTTGTTGACTACCTTTTCACACATGGGCTATTTTTATGATGTGGCTGTCAGAATGTCAGTGGTTTTGTATGCAATGAAGTAATAGAACGGAATATAATGCCAAATTTTATATAAACAAAAATACAACTCTAAATTCTTGTGAAAAGTAATTTATATAAATTAGCAGAATAATAAAAAGCAGCCACTTTAAGAAAAATGTGCCTTCATCAAGCACTTTCTATGGAAACCAAGCTCATATTAAGGTTACACGGTGTTAAAAACTACAGGAAACTCTGTGCAACTAGTTCCTTCACAGAAACTAGATCTTAGAAAAACTATCAGTATTCAATCTTCTGACCCACTTGACCACTGTTGTGCCTACATTACACATAGAATAAAACTGCAATGCTTCCCCATGAATGCTTTTCTCTCAGCTATCAAAATGAAAATAAACTATCAACATTCTATTTCTTTAGGTATTCAGTAGTATATATGATTGCAGAATAAGTAAGATTCATTTATCTGGCAGCAATCACCAGATGCTCTGCTTCGACAAACTAATTTTCTAAAAATAATTCTTGTATAAAATATTTTTACACCATTGTAAATGGACAATGAAATTTATGTTTTCATCCAAGTTCCCTTGAAATTGTGCTTGTATTTTTTGCTTTTTCCTAAATTTATGATAAAGGTACATAAATGATGTACAAATAAAAACTTACTTCTAATGAGATGTTGCCAAACCATGCAAAGAACATGCTGTACTTTGTTCGCAAGTAGCCACTTATATTCCTTAGGATGAGATATGAAAGTATCTGAAATATGAATGAAAAGCAAATGTAAAATAATGATGCTTTTACATTATCAATATGTTTAATATCACAAAATTCTTTCAAAAGATTAGTATTAAATTTATTCTTTTATATTGATAAATGCTATAGGAGTTTTAACTGGGACATGAAGAATTTCCACAGTATTTTCTAAATTTTTTTAAAGTAATGTTGAAAGATGATTCAATATAAAGTACATAATTTGAAAAATGATTTTTAAAATTAAGTAGTTGATGCTAAGAGCGACATTTCTTTAAAATATATTTTATTAAATTTAATCTAAAACTCACATATACAGAAGAAACTTCGAAAATTTAGAAAAAAATTTTTACTTTCAACCGGGATGAATTATATACGAGTGCACAAAATATCACTTACTAAATTAAATGCAGCATACATTTATGATAAAATATAAAATTTTAAACAAGCATATATTAATTATATAAAGCACTTCAGTACCAAAATAAGAAAACTGTAATTATTAATATCCTGTTTTAGCTATGCTGAAGTCAGATCGATCAAGCTTTCCCATACCATATAAAGTACCCACAAACCATAGTTAATTTTGAATACTCTGCTCAGAAAATAAAGCAGAAAAAATATTGCAAATATTTAGAAAATGAATTGAATTTATTTACAGGTTATAATAAAATTTAACCGACTTTCAGTTAATGGAAAGGGCTGTTGCCGCTTACAATGTTCTTTTATATACAATTTAAATGGGAAAAAAAAGCAAGAATCAATGTTTTGTACTATACATCTTTACTTTTCTCTCTAGCGCTCGATTTTTACTTTTTACTAAAAAGGAAGTTCCTTGTTGATTTTAGTCATGACAACACTTCATGTTATGTGATGGGTGAAGTGAAAGTAGTAGTTGTTAGCTAGTAGTAGTAGTAGTAGTAGTAGTTATTATGACTAATAATAATTGTTGCCTAGAGTTTATTGAAATAGATAATTGGTACTCAATTCAGTGGCAGCATATTTCAAAGTCAGTTTTTGGATGAACTGACAAACACCTCATGGCATTTACTGTTATGACTAGCCGCTCAAGTGGGATAGTGGTTAGCAACGCTGGCTGCCATACCGAAGAGCCCAGGTTCGAATCCCGGAGAAGTTATAGATGTTTGTCAATGTATGGTGACTGCATGGCACTCTAAATATGCGGCAAGCCGGTGGTACAGGAAGAAGGATGGAAGACAATCAGACCTGCTCCCCCCAGGATGCTCTCCATCAAAACTGGTGCGAAACTGAGCAAAGTCATACTGTCACCTGTATGGTGTTCAAGGCTCTTGTCAACAGGCATAATGTTGCACTCCTTGCCATGAAGAACTTCTTGGAACACATTCCTAAACTTTGATTCAAAATTATGCATCAGACCACAAACAATACATACCACAGGTCACCTGCATTTCTCTTAAAATTCAATGCTGATTTTTATTAGTAAAATACACAACAGATGCTCTGCTTATACACTCTTATTCTTCCTAACCATATTGCTTCCTTTTCTTCCGATGAATCAAACTTTCAAAGTCAATTCCGCAAATTCCGTGCCATGCACTAAATTCAAAGACAATATATTACCTTATTAAAAAAGCAGAATGCAACCAAGAACACTATTAACTATAGTTTTTAGAGCTCTAAACCTTAGTGCTTCTGGTAATTAATTATCTATGCATTTTAGATCACAGTCCTTTTGTGTACATACTTGTTCTTTATTTAATTTGAAATTACAAACCTAAAGCAGAAAGAGAACATTTTAACAATTGGAATGAAAATAAAAGTGCTCTATCAAACAGCAAATGAAGTCATCAGTCATTGATATTATCCTTATCAGAAACTTGTATGTTTTCACTTCAAAACAAGAATTAAATTTCACTACAAGAATAAATTTTTACACACAATGAACAGGTATATTTTTTTAATTAAAATATTACTTATAACTTACAAATGCTATTTTGTTAGCTTTTTTGCAATAACAGGCCATTTGTATATCCCACCTAAGACTAAACAAGTTAAACAAGAATCTACCAGACATACAAATAATATGTAATATACATATGTCCTTTATCTCAATTTGAATAACAATTTCAACAAAAGAAGCCTAATAACAAATTCAATAAAAGAAGCCTAAAATTATCCTGTACTTTCAAATATAACTTAAGGTATGCATTAAACTTACTGGAACAAATGAAATGTATGGATGAATTTCATTGCATTCAAGTTTATTTCGGCACAGAAATGCAAATATTGCATAGCCCTGTAAGTATAAAAACTGACAAAATTATCTTAACAATTACATACAAAATTAATGTTTGTAAAACTATAATTACACATAAAACAAAACTTCAATAAAATTGATTTCATTATTCATTAACAAGAATATGATTTCAACAAAATTAAATACATATAAAATTAGCCATTCATAACTTTTTGTATAGAAATCACAGCAATAACACAATATAAACATCTGAAACATCATACCCCTAGTCCTACAAATGCAGCAAAAGCTACTGTTAAAGAAATGCCCCTGGAAAATAAATTCCCTCTATTTTTGTCATCTAAAATGTGATACTGCTTAAGAAGATGCAGACCAAAAGCAAACAACATTCCAAATGTTACACTCTGAAAAATAAGAAAATGTTATTGATAAAAATATCATAAATGAAACCATTGTATGGGGATCATTTCAAAAGAAGGGCATGTGAATTTTTACTAAATACATCCAAGTATTTAGGGTGATGCTTTTCTGTACCTTTTCTATGTAGATTCTAGGTCTCTGAATAATTGTTTCGGAGGGACTGCAATTCCAGTTAGGTCTTGGTTTTTGCTAGGTTGGTTGATACAAAAAAACAGTTTAACAAACTGTCTACAGTGGGTACTAGATGAAATGAGCTTGTCAAGGATGAAAATCTGTATCTTGATTAGAAGTTATACTCCAGTCTATGATTTCATTACATACACATCAAGGATTTGATATCTGCTGCACTTTCTCATGCAAGGTTTCAAGCCTATTGCATAAATGCTGTTCACTGATGATGAACTGATGGTTCTTGATTCCCTGTGAGTTAAATGCTGTTGACCTCCTATTGGTAAGAGGGAGCAGAATGGTTGTACAAAGCTGATATACTTGCCTAATTTAACGAGTCAGAAAAATTAAAAAATGTGAGAAGAAAGCAACAAAGGTACCAGTTTGACCAGCCTCACTCCAAAGATTGCTAGAACTTTATATTATTAGAATTATTACAATTATAAGAATGACAAGATTTATTAACAATGCTCACAAATGGACAGTTTCTATGGAAGTACTATCAGTTGCAGAAGTTGAAAATGCTGAAAAACATTTCAGGATAGCTGTTCAACTTAATAGCTTTGGGCAGAATGAAAATACTCGTAAAGATCTAGTGATCATTAAAGATGATGGGTTAACTAAAGTTTAGACAAAGAGTACTGGGAGAGGGGATGAATTTGCTTTTCTCTACCCATTTCTACTTGGCTTCCAAACCAATCTAGTTACATGTTTAATCAATATACTTCACATGAAAAATTGCCATACTGGAATGAACATTCTGTCAGCAAAATTATGAAAGAAATACTTTGTAATTGCATCTAAATGAGTCATTAGATGTGTCATAACCAAATCTACTGTCTGCATGAGATTTAACTCTACAACACACACTACTCCCGCAATTCAGTTACATTCAGACCGTGTTCATGATGCAGACACTTTTGAGATAGTTGGTATCGATCTCTGTGGAACTCTTTTTTTAAAGAATAGATCTAAAATATGGATCATCCTGTTTGATTGTGCTGTCTACAGGGCAGTGGTATCTCTAAGCACAGGTACTTTTTTACAAGCACTAAAAAGATTTATTGCAAGACAAGGGCAACCGTCTAAAGTCTACACAGACAACAGTACCAGATTTGTAGAAGCAGACAATGCATTGAAACATTAAAACTGGCAGACAATTCAACTTTCTATTGCATTTGTCAAATGTTTAACCTGGAAGTTCATTCCTCCAACCTCTGTCTGGTGAGAGTGACTTATTTGGTCTGCCAAATCATTTGTATTATGAGTATTAGGAAACTTACACTCTGCGAAATATGAAGAACTGTTGATCATTTTATGTGGCATGGAGCCACAAATCAACTGCAAGTCTCTTATGTACATTTTGGATAGCTCATGATCTCGTGCCACATACACCATGCATGATTATAGTGGACATTCCAGAGATAGGAATACCTGACCTTAATGCAATTGACGAGGAAAACTTCAAGAAAAACAAACTGACAATAGTTGCATGTTGAACTACAACAGCTTCCAAAAACAATACTCGGGACATCTAGCTAGATAGCAGGTGAAATAAAAAATATTAAAAAAAATCACCAATCTAAAAATTGGTGAAGTAGTACTGGTTGGCCAAGATAACACCAAATGGCAACACAAGACTTTGGCCAGAGGGGAAGATATTTTTCGCAAGCCAAGATGGTTGTTCTCTAGCAGTCTAAATAAAAATGGAAAATGAAACTTCAGGGCATATAAGGAAATTGCATCCATTACAGATTTCATTAGAAGATCCAATTTTGCAAGCTATTCTTGAAAAGTTTTTCTGATTTCGTCAACAAAAAAACTGTGTGAAGGCTACATTTGTCAACAAACACTGAAAAATTGAACTCTAAACTTTTGAATATTATTTTTCTTTCTTTAACATATGTTGCTGTTGCTGCTGCAAAATTTAGTTCAATTATTAATTTTTTGAAATTTTGTATATTTTAGATAATAGAGGATGTCTAGTTTTCCCTTCTGATGTTCATGCTGTAAGTAATTGCATAATGCAATGGTAAATTGACTGTTTCATATTTCGTGATTTCTTGCCATAGTTATTGATTTAATACCACTAAACAAATGGAGGGGGGATATTACTTCAACTCAGCTTTTTCTTAAGAGATAATGCTAGGTGTTCACGAAAAGAAAAGTTATGTTTACGTTTATACAGACAGTGGCATGGCAGCATACAGACCAGAGCCGTGGGGTAAAAGTAGAAGTCTTTGGGTTCTGTATTGAAAATGCACACATTATGCAAAAAAGAAAAGAAAGGCAAACTTTGCCAACTGTTGTGGTTTTTTGGATAATAAAAGAGGAGAAGAGGGGTATGTAGGCCCTTCTGTATCTATTTGTTGTTGGTTTTATTTTGAAAAGTACAAAAATTGACATTTTCTGTAAATGCAATTGAAACACTTGTTTCAAAAACGAAAAGTTGGGAAATATTTGTGCTTAACACTATGGGATTGCTAAAAAATTAATGCTTTCTTTATTCTCATATAAAAGCAAAGCAAAGAAACATTCCAACTGTGCTATGTATTTTGTGAGATTTACTATACACTGCACAATACACTTGAAATGGTCCCCATATTTATCTAATTCTGCAATATCATTCAAACGTCAGTATCATGTTAAATCCGTTTAGGTTTAAATGAGTTTCAAATACTCACATAGCGATCAATCTTCCACCTAAACCACCATTCTTTGATAGAATCATCAGTAGTAACAAATAATGCTTTCCATGGACGTGTAACAAAAATCTTTTCAAAGAAAACCTAAAACATGAACAATATTTTACTCTTGAACACAAACTAAAGATAATACATTATTTAAAGGAATTTGCTATTAAAAAGCAATAACGTAATAAAAAAGATCATACTGCAATGAAGAAAAATTGAAATAAAACAACTATAGGTAAAACTGCAGAGCAGCATTTAATCTAAGCACTAAAATATAAAATCAAGTACAGCAACAACCTTATGTTTGGCATAGATTTTAATTAACAGGCTACTGATTTTAAAACAGCCTTCATCCTGACGATAATGGACCTGTACATGTTTGCCATCAAAACTGAAACAGCCTTAATTAAACAGCGAAACACAAGGTTGTTGTTTTCCCTAATTTCATGTTTTACTCTGGCATGCTTCTCTCCTCCTTTAAGCATCTAAATTCATGTTCTATGTAACATAAAATTCATTATGATTGCTAATTACCTTCATTATTACAAATCAATTACATATTTCTGATGCATAATACATAATGTTCTTATTATTAGAAAAACAGGAACCCTGTTTCACCCTTCTTCAAAATTCACATGTATTTTGGAAAATCAAATCAGTTTAAAGTTGATTCTAATTTTGAATTTTATTATCTTATTTTCAGACATGCTATGTAATTCTTGGTTATGTTTTATGCCCACCTGAAATTTTAAAAAATGGATCTATGGATACACATATATTCTGCAATTCCACAGGTCCCACTGCACCTTAGACAAAGGTAAAACTTCTCAAAATGAAAAATCATGTATATATATTATGAACAGGGGAAAAAAAAAAAAAGTACTTTTGGGTAAAGTATTTAAGAGAGTGTGGTTTTTATGGTTTATTATTTTCACGATGACCTTTCTTAGTGAAAAGTTACTAGATATGCAACTAAACCTCACAAAGAAAGCAAATGCACAAAAAACTAGTGGAATGATCACTAAGAAATTACAATATTATCGCTATGGGCATAAACTAGTAAAAAGTGATTCCTAATTGACTGGTCATCTGTATTTACATGGATTTACTGCAAGAAGCTTCAAGAGAAATCCAGGAATTCATTGAGAAGCTTCTCGAATATGCATTTTCCAGAAATAACCAAGCTTCAATGTGCTATTGGAGAGAAAATTCAATATTCAAAGTATAATTTTAAAATCTCTGATTTTGATTCTCTTATCCTTTAATTTAATTCAGTTTTCATTTATTTTATTTTCCTGGAGTAGCCAAGGAGCCCCTGAGAAGTACATGCTGAACCCTACAGAATGGTAACATATCTAAGCTGATCAGCTGTGTGCTTATCTTAAAAAGGAAGTGAGCACAGACAAGGAAAAATAACAGAAGGATTACTCAGGATGGTGTCACTAGTGGTTCTGACTGAAACCACCATTGAAGGCACCAAGAGATGCATGTTACTGTTTACTGATAATAAAATAACTATTAAGAAATCTGTACAGTGATCATTTCTAAAATGAACAATATTTTTGAAATAATAAATAATGTTATTTAAATCACCAGCAGTCATGTTCCTAAGGTGAACGTTTTCACAAAATTGTCCAGAACTATGGATGGCTGTCTTGAGGATTTTTAATTGTAATTATCGCTAAACAGTCATATACTTGTCTAGGGAATAAAACTCTTCCTTACCACAGCTAGCTAACTGTCACATTACAGACAGGAAAAACTACAAAAACACTTATTAAATGAGCCCACTTTACATCAAAAAAATTAAATGCAGGATGTAACTAACAATATCCTGTTAGTAAGCAGCTACAGCCATACATAGACTCCAACCTTCAGCAAACCTTGTCAGTAGTCAACGCGCGAACGACATTTTTACAACTTTGAAAATGTGCGTGTAGCGTATGTTGTAATTAACCATTCATTAATTTTAAATTAATAATTAATTGTAATCAATTTTATTACATTTAAAATCCATATACATATAAAACTGAATATTAAAAATATACCTTGTAAATTATATGCACATTTAATTAGAAATTTTCTTTTAACTCCTCAAGCATTCACTAAAAAAAGTACTTCAAATCACTACTAATCATAGAAAAAATCAGAAGCTATAAATCATATCTTTTTCTGGATATGATTTCTACAGGGAAATAAAATTTAATAACCAAGAATGATACATATAAGTATTAAACAAAATACGCATAATTTATGAATGCAAAGATTTATATGTAGCATGCTTAGCAAGCTTAAGTTTTGATTTTGGAAGTTTTTTTATAACACAGTTCTTCATTTGCCTGCCATATTTATTTTTTCAATCAAAACTGCTTCAAGAGTTTTAAGACCTAAATTTGGTCGAAATTCCGTCTGATTTTTTTTAACAATAGAAAAAATTCTTTCGCAAGCTGCATTTGAATGAGGTATTATTAAGACAGCAAGCATTACAGAAGGCAATACTTTGTATTTAATACACCCATTCATATTTTTTAATTTGGCGATTTCTCCCCATGCTATATCAATACGCAAATCTACAATTTCTTTCAAATCATCTACTTGATACATGGAAATTCAATTTCTACTTGATTAAGACATTTTTTCATCATAATGGATGGAAAAGTATTCATCAAGTAAAGAACAGATGAAAATGAGACTTCAGTTCTCAAGCTGATGTCAGCAACTTCAGCATGTTTTTTAGAAATGGATCACTCGTGGAAATTTATCAATTATATATGAACATGCAGTTACAAAAAAAGCTCGCACAGAATTGAAAAATGATTTCACTTCACTTTCATTCAACTTGGCATTTTTTTAAATATAGTCTTGTTTCCGCACCAATCACTAAATTTTCATTTTCTTTTTGTTTACTATACATCTGAAATGGAATAGACGTTAGAGTAACATCTTCATTTTCTTTAGAAATTACTGATGGTTTACGAATCTAACAAATAAATTCATTTAAAAGTTCAAAAGTTCTCTTCTCAATTTATGTATATAAGGAGCTTGTTGTTGCAAATTAATATTTACTGTTATAAACAAAGGCAAAGTATTTTTCAAAAATAACAAGTACAATTTGGTGGTCAGTGACTGTAAAATTTTTTAATGTTTTGCAATCTCTTTCCTTCATTCTCACTGTTATCTGGTTTATCTCCAAAAAAATTTTATCACAGCATCCCACTGTTCCAAATCCTTGTTTATAGATTCTAAAAGAGACAACCATCTCGTACTGCAATATTTCAAATTTTATGAGATTTTGCATTCTGTCCCAAAATTTGTTGAGCAACTTTGAAGCTATGCTTCAGTTTCGAACTTTTCTCCAAGTAAAAATATATATCTATTATCAACATTTCAATTTCTGAGCCAATTAATTTTTCAGTAGGTTTTTTTTGCAGCTATATGCAAGAGGTGGCACGAACAACCTCGGGTGATTATACTTGGTTGATGCATTTTGATAAATGATGCTACACCTTTAACTTTCCAATCATATATTATAGCATTATCTGAAGAAAATGAAAGCAATTTTTCCATTCTAAAACCTTTGTTTTTAAAGTTTTTCATTTATACAATTAAAAAATACCTTCTCCTGTATTATTCATGCATTCTAAAATAGAAATCATGAAGTAATTATCACTCCCTTTTCTTTACTGTAGTATGTTATAACCAATGGGTACAGTTGTTATCATTGTTGTCATTACTTCCATCAGTACTTAAGAAATGATGTACTACTGCACACTGATTTTATAATATCAGCAACAGTATTTTCTGCAAGCGTTTTCACAATAGCAGCATTTTGGTATGACCGCAGCTAAATTTTTTTGCTATGCAGAATCCGGAAACATTGCTTTGAAAAGCTCTTTGGAATGATCCGAAACAGAAAGTGGTAGATTATGTTCAATTAAAAAACGAACAAAATAGCATTCGGCTTTTATAGGATCTGTTTCATCATCTTTTATTAAGAAATTTGTTATTTCTTTAGATTTTACGGTGCCAAGTTTCTATATGCTTTTGAGAAAACACATGCCGTTTACAGCCATCTTTTCCGCCATGAGCAACTGAGAAGTCTTTGTTGCATACACTGCAGTGTGCGTGATTCACAGAAATTTCGGACGCTTTAATGCATGGAAATTCTGAAGAATATGAATCTTTAACTTCTGCTTTGATAATTTTGGCTTCTTTTCGTTCGAGGCAGCATTATGATTAAAAATCTTTTTCACCTGATTCACAGTTTCACAAGACACACGCTAAGCTCTCGCCGTAAACTACACAATGCAGCCGAATGCAGCCTAAACACGCATCAGCGAGGAACCTGGGAGACAGACAATTGGGTGGAACTATTGATAAGTCGTTACCGGTTGGAGTTACTGATCTACAATTGGCTAATTCTTCAAAACTAGGAACGCACTCAACACGTGATATATGATAACACGAGTATTCAGCCAATCATCGGATGAATTAGTTGGTTCCGTTTTAAGTACTGGTTCTCCTGCTCTTGTTTCTGTAAAATCCGTAGTTTTTTCCATACTTTTCGTAGCTCGTAGTTTTTCATGAATTTCCGTAGAAACTACGGAGAATCCGTAGTAGTTGGAGTCTATGGCCATAGACAAAAATAGATACTTTTTAAGCTTACTTATAGATTTGTTTTCAGTTTTCCCTTAATGCTCTAGGAGAACATTAAGAAAAAATTTTAAAATGTGGTATAACCAGAAGGGAGTTTAGATTTGTGTGAATATGATACAATAATAGTTGAATAAGTATCAAAGCTTATGCATTGATGCAATTAAGAAGAAACAGATGTGTAACAGGTACAAGATATTAAAAATATACTAAATTGATATGCTAATGCTATCAAAGATACAATAGGCACTGATTTAGTGCTCATAGGTGACAATGAGTGATTAGTGACTGAATGAAGTTGAGGACAGACAGCATGTATGGATTAGCTAATAATACCACATAATCCCACTGAATATAGCTCAAATCTTCATGAGATGTACTGTTCTTAATTTCTTACCTTACTCTTAAAAATTTAGAGGTGCCAAATTCAAAATTTTATCAAAGTGGAATTTAAATCCATGGCAACCTTTTTGTATTTTCCTTCATTAATAGCACAATTTAATATTGTAAAATCTGAACAGTTGAATACTGGCATTACATTTCATACTCAGCTGAATCAATAATTTTTAATTAAGTCATTATAAAATACACTATTTTGTAATTTTTTTAAAAGAACATGTTTTATGAACATTTAGATTATTTGTTTTGTGTTGACAAGTATAACTGCCAGGTAACACGTTTAAGTTTTATATCTCTAGCCCTATGTTATATCTGAAGTTCGTGATTCTGTCTTTTCACAATAATTCAGTTCTGTTTTAATTTTATATATCAACATACTTGCCAACGACACTCATAGATCAGGAGATTTTTTTAAGAAATCGGGAGATTTTTCACAACGTTAAAAAGACTTTTTAAATGATAAAAATATAATTTTCAATAATGAATTTAAATAGTTACTAATTCTTAAATTCAAGCAACACAAAAATACCTTACACATAAAAAACATTTTTATTACTTGCATCATTTTTATTATTAGCATCATTTAAAAAAAAAAAACTTCTAGATAAGCAATTCTTTAAAGACAGCCAGCGTGTACACGCATGTTTCAAAATTTTTCTCATTTCAGTATTATGCAGCTGTTGGAACTGTTTCAATTTTTCCTTCCTTTTAGAACCCCTTTCAAGGTAATAAATATCAACAATGTGTTCATCCACATATATTGGTAAAGAAGCTGCCCTTTTTACAGCTGCTAAATTTAAGAGGTGACAGGTGCACCTCATAATCTGCAAATCTTAATTTTCCTTTCTTAAGATGCTTGCAACAGCAAGTCTTCAAGCCTACCATTACTGGTGCATTACCGGCACCAAGTGCTAAGCAATTATCCAGAGAGACTGCATTTTCTTTTAAAGTTTTAATAATTAGCTGTGCTAAATTAAAGCCTGTCGAATGTCCTTCTAAAGTGGGGAACTGCACTCAATTTCTGAAGACTCTGGATTAAAAAAAGAAACAACAATTGGATACAGTTTTGAATCGGTATTATTGATTCCATTCGTAAAGAGGCAGGATGAAGCTGTTTTAATGCAATCAATAACTAAGATTTATTTTTCAAACCCATTTCTTTAACAATTGCACCTGTTTTGGTCCTTGCACTTGAGTATTTCTTAGCGATTTCACTATCAGGAAACATTTTTCTAAATAAAGCTGCAGTGTGATCCGATGCATTCAGTGGCAGGTTGTGCTCTAGTAAAAAGGCAGAGAACAGACATTCTGCATTAATAACGTTTTGGTCCTTTGCTTCCGAAAAAAATTTTATTTTCGTTTTTTTTTTTCAAAACAACTCATGTTGTCTTTGTGTTTTTGTGTACGCACATGTTCGAGAACATCTGCCCTTCCATGCGAAATCGAAAAATCGCAACGACAGACGGTACACATCACAAATTTTTTACATTTCCTTGAGGAAATAATGAAAGGAAAGTCAACTGTGTACAATTTTTTAAACGTACACAAGTATTTCACTTTTCTCGCAGACATAACAAAAGATGATCATTTCTAAAACTATTTCTCGAAGGTACACAACTCAGGACAAGATGAACGAAATAACTAAAGAACATCCAAATAACAGCCTTGAGCTTGCTTTGTGCTCATTGGCTAATATATGCCAGATGACACACAGTGGAGCTCGATGCTCACTGGAGAACGACGTTTCTGGATATTTATGCTCTCACTCACAAAGGAGAAATTCTCATCTAATTTGCAAGGTTTTGTTTCAGATATAATCTAGAGAAAATTCAATTGCTTTCAGATGTCCAAAATCACTTTTTTTTTTTTTGTTTGTTTTGTTTTGTTTTGTTCATATAACGAGGTATTAAGTCAAGTTCCATAAAAATTGTGATAAATTTCAAGGATAAGAAAAAGTCGGGAGAAATATATTGTAAATCAGGTTGGCGGGAGAGTTGTCGAAAATCGGGAGTCTCCTGCCTAAATCGGGAGAGTTGGTAACTCTGCATCAATATAAAATTACAGCCTACACACCAGTATATGCTGAAATTCTCATTGAACTAAGTGGATTCTTTGGATCCTCCTAACTGATATCTAAAATATTACTTTATAAATGACAGCAATCTGTAGTATTTATTTAAATAAAGAGTAAGGAACAAATAATAGCATGCTGCACTGAAAAATACACTAATATATTTTTAATAGCAAGCATAATAACTATATTATTTCAAAATTTCCCAATTTTAATTTTTCCTTAACCTGCAGAAAATACACATGTTAATGAAATAATTTTTGTATTTTTGGAGAATTTTAATAAAAACAATCAGCATTTACCTGCATTTTAATATTACAAACTTACCTCAGACATATATAAAACAGTAACTATTCCAAACAGAGCAACAAACTTCAGAACCATATAGAAATTCTGCAGTGGATTGGCTAAATTAGGTAAGATAATTTAGTATTAAAACAAGGGAATATATGCATCTATATGTGTGCAAAATTATGGATAATATTTTGAATATGGAGTACAAAATTAAAATATTCATAATGTGAATGATAGCAATACAAACTATGAATTAAGCTAATTGCCTAATTTAAACTAATGTCAGTTTAATTGACATAAATAAAAATTTCAATAAACTATTGTATAATAAATGAATTGACAACCTTCTGCTAATGGAGCTGTAACTTGAGGTACTGACTTCAAAGTTAAGAACATCACAATAAACCAGAAGGACACCAAAGGCACAAAATAATAGAATTGATATGGACGGTTCATACAAAGGCATAGAACAACCACCAGAAAATTAAGACGAAAAATAACCTAAAAATAAAAGCAATTATAAATTTAGTTGGTCTAGAAAAAGCCAGAACATTTGACAGTCAGAGACAGATATACATTTTTAACTTCGCTCTCTAATTAAATAACTCATATTATAACAATAACTAGATTTCAACTTTGCATGCCTTCAATTCCTAAAGATATTTACTATACTCTCATTAATTTTGTATAATGTAATATCAATGTGTTCAAGAAAAGAAAAGCTTTGCAGGAAAAATAAGATTAGAAGTGCAAGGTCTATTTAACATTGAGGTAAATGCCTATCTCGTTAGATTGGCAAGATATCGGCAAGCTGGCGATGGTTTGGCAATTTTTTTTTGTTGCCAAAAGTCGCCGAATTTGACGACCATTTCGTGACATTTTGTTCTGTTCCCTGTATTCCTGTAATTGATCCCTATGTGCAAATTTAACCATCAGTAATTTCAAGAAATGGAAGGTATTGGAAATTCCTTGATGGCTGTGAGTAAGCTATACAGTACAAAGTCCGTAATCCGGTCTCGTCGGGACTTCAGCGATGCTGGATTAGGAAGTTTTCTGGATTATAGATCATCAATTTAAATCTGGTAAGATTGTATACAATTAAAAATATGTAACCATCATTTATGAAATAAAGAGCAATTATGATCTAAAGGGTATCAAAATTTACAAAAAAAAAAAAAAAAAAAAAAGGCTTAATATTTATTTGTTTACTTTATTAAACCTTTCTTTTGGTATAAGTTGTTTAAGATGCTTCCACCAAAAATTCAAAAAGTTACTTTTTCTTTTTGCTTATGTCATATACAGTTGACTTTCCAATGTCATATTCCTCGCACAATTTTGAGACGAATATGCCTTTATTCATTTTTTGCAGCAATTCCACTTTTTTTTTTTTTGATGGGCATTGAAACATGCTTTCGCTTTGTAGATCCTTTGGTAGCTCTAGAATTGGAAACTCTTTTCGACATAATCAAAAGTTCAAGCTTAATTTTTATAAAATTGCTCTAACAGTCTGTAAAAAAATAATAAGCCGGATCCAATTAGAAGATTAAGGAACAGTGCAATCTGCAACATTAACTGAAATGCCTTAGAATCAGTAAAGATAATTTTAGCCTAGCTTATACCGTCCGTTATACATTAAACTTGCATGCATAAAGCACATAAAAAAAAAGTTTGTGGCTTTGAGGAGATTATAGATCATTCCGGATAATGGACGTCCGGATTACGGACTTTGTACTGTACAAGACTGGAGAGAGCATCATTTCTCAGATGTTTGGAATATAGAGAGATCTCCATGTGAGCTTCACTTTTTAGATGTGCTTTGCATCGTTCTGCATTTAACATTCTCAGTAGTTTGAAGTGTAACTATTGATAGTGCTCTGCAACACATAGAGCTGTTGAAGTATTTTTGACAAAAGTTCCAAAATTGTAGTGCTTTTAGGGGGGGGATTTTACCACACTATAATTGGTTTTGTGTGCATTCACTCCATTATGAACCTGAACACACAAATAATTTTTGGCGTCACAAGTTTTGTTGAATGCTGGTTACAGGAGCAACAGAGGAGCAACTACGACTGCCGGTGGCACCCTTTGCTGCATTCATTGAAGAGATTAAAGTGGGCCGAGAGAAGATGAAAGTGGACCAAGGATACATGAAAACATTCAAGAAAAGATTGATGGAGCCATTCAGTTACAGAAATGACTGAAGCATGTCAAGAGAAAATCAAAAGAAAAATTACTGCCACAATAGAAAATACACTCGAAGCTATAAAAGGCAGAACAGACATAGTTGAAAATAAAGTTGGAGAAACTGAAGAAAGAGTTTCTGCTATTAAACAGATCAGAGTTTCTGCTGCTGTTGTCAAGGAAGTTGACAGTTTGAATGACAGCTGGTCACAAATCTGACACCTTTAAACTTATACATATACTGTCCAACCTTCTCTAAAGCTATCCATGCATGACGGGAAGACCTCCTGTCAAATGTAAAAGACTCGGTTCTCCATAGTGGCAAATGGAAATGGATGAGATCCCAAAGCCTGCCATGAAGTGTTTAAAAGACTATAGCAGGCTTCAGTTCCCGTCAACAGAAGCCCTCAGAAACCCTTCTGGAGCTCACCCTAGATGTTGAAAGGCTGCCTTATCTTGCCTTTTCAGACTACCTAACAGAAACAAGGAATACAATGCCCCTGCAGTACTTCACTGATGGCATCCAAGATACTGGGATACAGAAAGCCTTGCAAATAGCAGATATCAAGGATTTAAAAAAATGCTTTAGAGCACAATATGAAATTAAAGGAAGCCAAACAAGCAACTCGTAGAGACCACCATCCAATCACAGCTGCTCAAGACCAGGAGCCTATGCAACAAGTGATGCCATGCTAGTCAATGTCTTGAGGAAGAATAGAAGAATATAACAATTCCAGGATGTAAAGTGTTCCGATAAGAAGTTATTTACTATGTCATCTCTGCCAAAGTTATGTGTAGGAACTGATAAAAAATGTTGGCAGTTAAAAGATTGGAGACACTCTGAAATTGTCCATCAGCTGAGAAGTTTCCAGGGGCTTTGGACATTGTTTAGATTTGTGAAGGAATTTTCTTCCATCGGAAGGCCCCCTTCATCAGCTGACAGACAGCAAGCAGAAACTCTTGTGAACAAAACAATACGAGGATGCATTTAAGAAACTGAAGTAATCTTTAACATCTGCCACAATTTTGACAAATGCACAGCTTGAAAAGCCATTTATTCTTGACACAGATGTGAGCAGTGAGCAGTGAGAGTGTCAGTGCTGTTTTGTCCCAAGAAATAAATTATCAAGAACGTGTCATGGCATACTAGAGGAAGTGTCTACCTAAACCGGAAAGGAATTACTGTGTCACCAGATAAGACTTGCTACCTATAGTTAAAGCCATAGAACATTTCTGTCACTATCTCTACAGAAAATTCCTACTCCACACATATCATGCATTCTTGACTTGGTTCTAAAATTTCAAGAATCCTGAAGGCCAAATAGCCAGATGGGTGCAGACTCCAGGAATATGACATCACTATTCATCATCAGAATGGATTATCACAAGGAAACACTGATGCCTCATATAGAAGACCCCATCCAGAAAGTTGCCTTTATTGTTCCAGGCTAGAAGCGAGATACGAGCAGCTTAATATGTTCGTAGGTAAAGTTACAAATTCAACATAACCAGACTCGGACCCATTGAGTGATGAAGAAGTCATGAAAGCCCAGTTAGAAGAGGGTGACATTAATGCCACAGTTAACTTAATGGTGTCTTCAAACAGGAAAGCTACCTGGCAGGACATTTCGATCTAGTCCTATGATAAAACACTATTGAGCTTTCTGGGATTCACTCCTTATTCAAAATGGCATCTTGTACCAGAAGTTTGAATTAGATGATGGAAACGGATTCTGATGATATTTCTAAAATCCTGGACGTCCTTAAATAACTGCACAGCAGTCCACAGAATAAAATGAAGAAAAATGTTATTACCACAAAACAGACAAAACATCATTTATTCTTTACTTCAATATATAAGGGTTGCAATCCAAAATTTAAGTAAGCTTGCTTATGAGCCAGGAAATATAAAAATTTTTTAATTAAAATAATAAAGAATTGTTAACAGAGTTGTGGAGACTATTGAGACTGCTAAACGGCACCTCAATAATTTCTATGCAAATGAATCTAATGACTTTTCTGAAAAAGAAATTTTTCCAGCTGCCAGAATGATAGCAAATGGCAATATGTCATTGAACAAAATAGTGCTTAGGCAATTTAATGGAATTTTCTTATGCTTTTGTGCTGCTTCCTTCCAGATGACCCAGTATGTTATAACCAGATGAAGATTTCAAAAACCATCTTCATACATTTTTTTTTTTTTTTCCAGACTAGCATGTTTTAGCACCCCCAAATATCTGAGGATTTCTTTTCTAAACAATGAACCTGCTGAAATGGCTACAAGATCGGTTTATCTTCTTACTCCAAAATGTTCCAGTTACTTTCTACCTCAATTATTATTATTATCTTTCGGTAATACACAGTGTTTACAGCTTCAGTGCATTTAAATATGCATGAATACTTACATCCTCAAAAGCATTGGGAAATGTAATATTGAGTTTTAGGTACAGCTTTGATGGGTAAAAGATTAAAAGAATAAAGGAAATAAGGTGACTGTGATTTGAAGACTTTGATTTTGTGCTTTTATAAACTTCTCATAAAGACACATCAAAGTATTTCAAATTCTGCATTTACATTTATGGCCATATCAATGCTCTAGTTTGACAAACATTAAAATTAATATCTTTATCTCAAAATAAAGAATAAAGAAATAAAGAAAATTGTGAACTTTCTTTGCAGGTTTAGTTACATAAGTACAAGTTATGATAAATTTATAATCAAGTCATTAAATAATAAAACATCAGAAATATGAAATAAAAATAACTGTTATTCTTAATCAAAGAACTTTAGAATTATTACACAGCACAAATATTATTGAAATGGTGTTTTTCACACTAATTTTTATTAACAGTTTAGAATTTTCAGTCAAGTAATTTTTCCAACATTACTAAACCAGCTAATTCAATTAATGCAAATCCAGATTATTATTAAATGGGTAAAACTTACTTGCCACAATCGGAAAAATCCAAAATCACCATATTGATAGAAATATGTAAAATGTCCATATCCACTTAAGAAAAGGTATGATGTTACAAGAACACGCACATGCATGTATATTGGTAAGATCTATTAACACAAAATATTATTTTTATTAAAAAGCAACTTATGCATTACAAATATATATGCATACAAACAATTACACATGAATTTTCATCTTATGCCTTTATGCCCATCTCTGCAATTACTCAATAAGCAGACAGATAAAACATCCAAAAAGTAAAGTCATTAAATTCAAAATCCCTTTCACAGGAACTATTAAAAATTAAATTGATAAAAGCAAGCATTCACACTTGAATTGCAATTAATCTTCAATGAATTTGCTCAGTGTGAATACATAAATTCTCATTGAACTGATTTTCCCCTTCCTTTTGAATGACATGCAGCAAGAGCGATGATGTTTTAGCCTCACTCTTACTGCCATGAATCTTCACACTTTATCTGCAGTGATGGTATATTAATATACCAATAATAATGTTATAATAAAGTCTTAAGCTTACAATTTTTACTGCTATAATCAACAATATAATGAGTTCAAAAACACCAAAGAATGCATCTCAATTTATGTTTTTGAGGCAAGAGCATTGTTCTTTGATGAATGCTTATCTTTGAGCATTCATCAAAGAACAATGTGTTTCTGCTAAGAATTTGCCTTCCCATTTTTGACATTTACCATGTGCTGTTATTTAAAAAATAATCTTCATACTTACAAGAAATAATCTGAATAGATTCAAGAACAGATGAGTATCAGTGATTTTCCTTGTTCAATATTCTGCTGTCAGTTTATTTATAAGGATTATTCTGGATACTCGCGTGTTTCATGATCATCACTGTGTAAATTTTGTTATGAAAGAACACTCAGGGGCGGTAAAAATTATGGTGGAACCTGTTTTGTCTCTGGAAATATTTTGCATAATCTGAATAATTAATGTAATAACTTCTAAAAAATAATGATATGTGAAAATCGTGATGTTTTTTACTGGCCCTACACAAGTAAGACGTAAGTACAAATGTTATTGTAATTTGCTGGTAATAGTTTAAAAGAAGAAAACATTTATCATAACTTTTAAAATTGGGTTACCATGCAATGTATTTATTTTTATTTTAAGATTACTGGTTGATTGGGAACTCATGATAATTTTCATCATTTATTAATTTTGAATATTTCCTCTCTTGTAGTGTACAATAAGTATAATATTTTATCATAACTGAGTAGTCTTCAAGATGGTCTTTATTCATATCACAAAGCATACATAGAGAACAAGTAGCAATTTCTTTCACTCCTATGCAATTTAAATGTCTTTGTAAACAGTCACGTCAAGAGATTAATCTAAAACTACCCCTACAACCTAACCAAGGAAACTGCGGATGCATTTATTTTTCTTCACTAATTTGTTCGAAGACTTGAATGCAGCTTAATCCTTATGCACTGGTTGTCTATTTCCTTTGAATTTAGGTGAAAGAAACTGCTAGATATTTTTCAGAAGGAAGGAACAGAGAAGTTCAGACATTTTCTACTCTTCAAAATATAATATTTCTACTCTTCAAAATATAAAATACAACTCTTCAATACCTACTCTTCAAACCATGATCTATAGATTAAAATCTTCAAAACCATGAAGATCATTAACTTAACACATGCTGTATGATGTCATGAGCAATTTGCTAATCATCGAATGAATAAAGTTGGTTCCATTTTGCATACTATTTACTGTGCCCTCTTTTCAGTAAAATCTGTCATGTTTTTTTTTTTTCTTTTTTTTTCGGGGGGGGGGGGCATTTACCGTAGCTTAGATTTTAAGGAATTTCTGTGGAAACTACTGAGAATCTGTAACAGCTGGAGTCTATAGGTGTGTCATATTTTTTCATTTATTTTTAATGTTACTCAAATTAATCCATGAAATTCTGCATTTCAATTTGTCACAAGAAATTTTTGACACGCGTTTAGTTCTTAATCTTTTTCATCCAATTTTGTCATGTGCTTGCTAACTCAATGGTTCTATCTAGTGGTGTGCAGGATTGAAACTCGTGGCAGTTTATTTTTTGCATGCTATGTTTAAATCATTAATCCTTGTACAATTAGAAAACTCAAAATATATTTTATTCATGTCAGATTGTGCATGTTTTTGATTGAATTATAGTTATTTTTTCAACTGAAATATTCTTCCCTAGCTTTATTCCCCCCTGTTCAGACTCTTAGCATTCATTTCTGACTACCTTTTAAATTACCCAAAATCCATTAATTATAATTTAGTCCATATGATACTATATATTTAATTATTATAATTACACTTCATTTATAGTTTAACTGGAAGGTACTCGTTTTCTATCATTTTATAACTTTCTCTCTGGTTAAAAATAGAACTGTTGTTTTATCCGAGATTTTGTGTATACTAATTTTTAAAATACTGAGTAGATTTTTTGTTTTGTTTGTAAAAAACAGATAATTTGAATCACTTCTGCCTTAATTTCTGTTCAGGTAAAATTTCCGACTTATATATAATTTACTTACTTCATTCAAGACTGGAGAATAAATTCCATTTAATTAGTTTTATATTTTGAAGTTTTGTAAACAGTGTTTCACACATTAATTGTGATGCACTGACTAGAATAATTATCTTTATGAAACAGAAATCAAATAATTCCATTTCCTTGATTCAAAATACTCTTTAGAGCTCTCTAGCAAGACCTGTTTTATCACCCTTCATGGCTCCAATTGGCATCTTTCATTAGATTAACCAATTTTAGCAAACTACCTAAACTCTAGAAAAAGAGAAGCTTACCATAAGGGTCGCTAATATTAAAATTAAAGTGAGGTGAATGCCAGGCGCACCATCAGTTCTTAAGGTCACGCAATTCATTAAATTTAGCAACTGCTTGCCAAGAAAGGATCCCCTTTTTGAGGGCGACTCATAAATAGAATCTTTATTCCTTACAACAGTTACTTCTAGGTACCAACATCATCACCAAACAAGATTATTACCATCTACAGCATGCTGCTGGCAATCTTATAGAGATATGCCTGCAACATGGTATTTAACAATTCTGGCATGGCAGACTTCATGGCTTCAGCGATTGTCCACAAGTTAAGAGTTATCTGCTACAAAGTTCAGGCCTTTCCTTATCATATCATATTTTCTACCACTGAACTGCACCCGCACAAGTATAGGCTTTTGTCAATGAAATCAAAGTAAATGAAGGTCAGCAGATTTTCCCACCTTTTTAGTTCTACATATGCAAAATCAGAAATACTTCGGAACAACAGAAGAAAAGTCATCAAAGCAGAAAAAGCTTAGTTTATGCATGATCAGTTTTTCTTTAGCATAAAATAAACATTTATGATATACTCTTGACACCCACACAGGTTCCCAAATAACCTATTATTTTTCACTTATGGCACTGCTATACATTTCAGGCTTTAAAAACAAAATATTATTTTTGCATGAGGGCATACTGAAGAACCAGCACAATCTTACATGAATACACAAAAATATTCTACATAGACATATAGCATTATTTTACTTTACCTGTTAACCAGAAGATTTTTTACTTACACGACTTGCTCCAGTCATATGATAAATTAATATTACCAATTGCATCCAGCCTTTCCACTCATTAGTTTGATCTCTGTGAAGAATCTGAGTCTAGAAAAATAAAATACATTATTTCAATTATGATATCTGCTAGCACAACAAAACTTTAAGCTTAAGACTTCTACTGATACATTTAAGGCAACAGTTCCCAACCTGTGGTATGCATGGACAGGCAAAAAAAAAAAAAAAAAGTTTTATAATAAATGTTGATAATAATCAAAATATTTAGACAATTTAAATTTTCCAGTTCATTAAAAAAAAAAGCAGTTTTGACTATTCCAGATGAGAGTATTACTGACCAAAATTTTTTCAACTACACCTAGTTTTCCCAACACCTGTCAAATGACCCGCCTTCTTATACAATTTATGTAGTCACATTTTCCCTGCTCTGTCACAGCATATCATATGTAGTGATTGGTAGCTAACTGTATTTTCAGTATTGATTGAATCATCAAGTGGGTTATATAGTATATCTTTTTCTAAACTTTGATATGCAAGTCAGTTTAAATGTAGAATAAACTTGAGTTAAACTCAGTTTAGGATTACCAAACAGTTTAATTAATGTTTTCAAAACTTCTGAAAACACTTATTTTAAGCTAAGAACTAGATCTGAGAGAAACATATACTGGAAAAAAATCAGACCAAAGCATTTCAGACACTTTACAAAAAAGTCAAAGAGTAATAACTTACTTAAAAGACCTCTGAATTTGTTCAAACTTTATTTACATAAATGAAGTGAGAAAGACAGTTGGATTTCAGCCCATTCAATGAAGATTTCTTTAAAGCAGCCTCAAAATTATCATTCTTTGAAAATGAAAAATTTATAATATTTTTCTGACTTTATTCATTGCAGTTTAATTTTATGGTATTAAAATGATACCTCTGTAAGGGATACTGCGAAAATACTGAACAGGAGTCATAGGTTCTGAAAAAGGTTTCAGCACTGTATAATTAACAAAGTTTCATTATGAAGTACATAAAAGAAAAAAGGTTGAGAACTGCAGCTTTAAGGGATACATACATTACAATATAAAATATAGTGAAATCAACTATGCAAGACCATTTTCAACCATAACATGAAATTTTATATCATCTGCAATATTAACAGTATGATAAATATCATGCTTTGTTATTGTAGTAAATTGTAAACTTACAAACTGACTTTCCTCAGTAAAAAATAACCCAAGAGCAAAAAGGTATCCTAAAGGCAGGAAAAAAGTTGTATACGTAAAGTACTTGTTTTCTTTCATGAAAAAATTAGTCCTGAAAGAAAAGCATTTCGTTTGAATTTAACATACTTTTTCACCGGCAGTAAAATATCATATTTAAGGATAAATTATGGTAAGGAATGTAAGTGATGACAATAATCTAAGTACCTATCTTTTTAAAATATTTTATAATAAAAAATATACATAAATATTACCTGTCACATAGAAAAAAATAAGCCATTACAATACCAAGGCGAGCAAGGGATGTGCATAATTCATAAAATGATGTTTCTTTTTTCCCTGAAAATAAAGCCACGTATAAAAACTTTAATGTGAATATAAGAAAGCACTAATTAACAAGGGCTAAAAAATACATGTAAAGCAAAATTCTAACTTTAATTTGCAATAGTCCCTTAACTCTCCATTTTAATTTACCTATTTTTCTTTTCTTGGGGGAGGGGGGAAAAGCCAAAGGGGTTTATTATAAGTGGTTTACAGTAACAGCTTAATAAACCCTTTTAAAATTTACCATTTCATATTGATCACTGTCAAATGGTTTTTCCATAACGCAAATGATACACTTACATTACTTCAATCATTAATAATTTTAGAGATTTATTATTAATGTGACAAAATGAACTTCTGAATGATGAAAATAAATACAACCCAATTCTGTTTTGCAAGCTATTGCCATTTAGTTCAATTTACTGGGAAAGGGGGAATCCATCTGTCTTTTTATATGATTTAGTTTGAAATAATATGGTTCAAACGGTTCCTTCTTGAAAACGTCATCTGAAATTTGATTTTAAAAGTTATTTCTCAATAATAAAACACATTTTGGAAGTAAGACTTAAAAAGATTCCAACTGCAGTAAAATTCCTACAGTAGTTTTGGTTGGAAATACACTTTTCTAGCACTAATAAAATTTGCGCAAGATTAAAACTACAGTTATATGAGCTAAAAAGAATAATGAATGAAATAGGGAAAATAATTTTACTTATACTATAATTTTTCTACTCCAGTCAGAAAATCAATAAAAATTTCTTCTTTCATTTACTAGAATCTTGTTTTAGGCTAAAGAATGATTAAAACAAACATATTTAAGTTGATGATAAATGAGAAAATTTGATAAAAAAAAGTATAAATATGTGTGTCTTATCCATTATTAGCAATTTCATCTGATGCTAGTGTAATGGTGCTAAATTGTCAACAAATATTTGCCTCCATGTTGCAAACATGTCCTTAATCTCTTCCATAATCTTTCAAGCATATGTTCAGTATTGTTGTAATAGTTGTTTGATTCTTCAACATGTTTTCGTTTTTTTATTTTTAAACTGATTTCTTGTATTTATCAAATAATTAAACTGAAGTTAGGAGATTTTTTCCTAGATTGTAGAATACTCCCAAGAGATCCAGATAATTCTAATTTTCATGCAATGAAATCCCAAAAGAAAATAAGTTGTAGAAATGCAACATTGCATAGTGTAGAGAGATTGTTAAAATGAGACTAAGAAACCGACTTGAAGAAAACTTAATCAACAGCTGTATGATTTATTTACTGTTGGTACTAGGAATTAACATCAATTAAACTATACTAACATGGTGTACTATTTCAGAAGTCAAACAACAAAAAAACAGCGTTATATTTTGAAATTTTCACAGGACTAGTTTCGATGGTTTTACCCGAACCACCATCGTCAGCTGCAAAAGCGCAAATGAACGAGATAGGATACAATGATCAGATAAGACAAGAAAGCCTGGACAGAAAATAAGATAGTGGCGCCATCTGTTGATGAAACCAGAACTAAAACATAATTTCTTTAAAGGCAAAGATAGATTGGAATTAGAATCGTTAACTAGAACAGAAAGATTTTTTGGAATGTGAAATGCCTCTAGAAAATCCAGTTCTCCAATGGAAGATGTTTTTTGAATAATTTTGGCAGCAGAAATATTGAAAGTGTGATTTTCGGACCAACAATGTTGGGCAACAGAAGACTTCTGCGTTTCCTTTTTTCCAACATATGCCTCATGTTCCTTGATGTGAAATTTTAAGGCTTTCTTAGTTTGGGCAATGTAAATTAAACCACACTGGCAAGGAATCCTATAAATACCCCAGGAATTCATATCCGGAATGGGGTCCCTTGCATATGGAACTCAATGACTTTTTGTTGTTTGACTTCTGAATTAGTATTTGTTCAGCGTGTTATTGTGTCTTAATTGTGTACTATATTAACTGGATATGGTGGATAAATCTTTCACAGACTGGAACAATTACTTTCAAGAAATTTGCATTATTGACATAAAGAGAAACTGGAGTCTACCAAATGAAATCTCCAGATTATAATCAGTTATTTCGACATCAAATGCACTTGATCATAGCAGATAAGACACAAGAACCAAAATATGTTTAAAAATAGCTAAAAACTAAATGAAGGCTTAATTACAGATTTTAATATGATCTGCTCAAAAACAACTTTTAACGAGAGATTTTTACATCTGGAAACAATATTCTATTTTTTTTTACATGTATGTATGTTTTCCTTACAGAGTTCCTCTCCCTTCCCCAGGTTTTATTAGGAACCTCTGATGTAGCTTCAAAATGTGGGTTCCCTGAATGTTTCACCAACATTTCAAAAAAAAAAAAAAAAAGAAAGAAAGAAAGAAAGAAAGAAACCACAAGCTGTATTTAATTATCTACATCCTACCTAAATTCTTCAGTGGCATTATTTCACACAATGGTCTCACTACCACACATTAGGAATACTATTATTACACATTAGGCATTGTATTAAAGACTTCATCCCGTGGAAGAGTAAAGACATCTAATCAGAAGGAAACATTTCATTGACAAATTTACATACTTTTATTAGGAGACAATCATGAATAGGAATCATTTACATCCCCTCAGAGACAAATATATAACATTTCTCAAAATTTTCATATAATCATATTATTCAATAAACAAGTCTCTAATATTTTTCTAGTATACATTCTCTATGGTGCCTCTCAAAAATTACAATAAAAACACTCATTAAACATTAATCACATGTCTTATGCAATGAAAATCACAAACTTACCAAAAAATTCTTACTTTTTTTAACAAAAAGAAAAAAATATTAGACCTATTGAAACTAAAACTGTAAGTGAAATATAATTAAAACCACGAGATTATGTTTACACTCTCACTTACATATCAGATGGGGAAATGTAAAGATGTAGTTTTGAACAGAGTACGAGCTGCTAAATAGTTTTGATGAAAAGCATATTTTCTCAAAATACTTTTATTCATCTCCAAAAATAGCTTAGCCATCAGTTTTCCCACTAAATGCATCACCTCTAGTAGAAAGGACTTTTTCAACTACGTACATCATTTGAATCCAGAAAGAGGTCAATTATAAATATTGCTGCGTACATACGGTTTCGTTATGGATTGAATGCACAAGTTGATAAAAAGTTAATAAAATTTATTCCTATCACAGGAAATAAATCAGAATGCTGAAATTTCCTCAGAGATATTCGTACAATATCACAACACCTCACAGTAGTTATATTTTGTACTTCTAAAACGTTAAATAGAACTCAATGCAAAGCATAACAAGCCTATCTGATCTCACCCTGAATTCGCTACAATCAACAACAAGAACTAAGTAAACAACTGAACTGAGATATTTTGATCCGGCTTTTATAAGCTTTTTAATCATGCACGAGAACATTCTGGTATTTTCTTGATTTTTCTGGATAGCAAAAGAGTACAATTATGAGATATCTATGTATTAAATGTTAAATGCACATGCTCCTGTATTTTTACTTTTTTCGGTGCAGCTTTCTCTTAAAACTTGTTGCGTGCAGCATTGCATGGAGAAATGAAACAATTTAATACCAATTCTACTAAAAATAACAAAGTAAATACAAAAAACGTAACACTGCCCCCTTCCCAAGGACTCCACGTCCCGGGCAGTACAATCCCTGGATAGGAAGGCAAACATACAACTAAGGCAACAATAAACATTACATTAAAATTTAAAAAAACCATAAACAATAACTGCAATAATTAATAATGGTAGTACAATTTTTTTAGACAAATAATTTACACGCTGCTTTTAATAAAATAATTTAATTTGTATAATAAGCCGTTTTGAACAATAATAAATAAAACGTAGCTGGAGAAGCAACTATGATAACAAAAAACAGATTGTTAATAATATCTTCACAATAAAATAAACATTATTTTGTTTTTCATTACTATGTTTATGAGTTACCAGACCGTCAGTGATGAGTTTTAGTAGGCAGGTCGCCACAGTACTCCCCCAGGCCCACCAGCGGCCAAGCGGTAAAGACGCTGAACATTGGTAGTTCGGTTCGAGGTTCAAATTCCGCAAACGAGCTGGCTGCATGGGGGTTTTCGTGGTTTTCCCCATGTGTAATGTGTATACGAGCCAGTTTCCCTTAGAAAGTCCTCGGCATCCCTCCCTTTAGGCAGATAGCCCTCTTGTGTTTGCCATAACTGAATAATCCATAATCCATCCATCAAGAGTACTCCCCCTCCAGTGTTAACGATACCTTACAAATACTTTGGGTCGATGCGAACTCCACAACCCGAGTGTGTTCTTGTCGTAGCATCTGATAAGTTGGAAGTCATGGTTTCTGTCGAAGGCTTGGGACAGCTTGCACTGAAGTCCATTGGAGACAGATGTGGATCTTGAGATGGAATTTGTGATGGTGAAGACGCATTTGCTCTAGTGGCTTCTGGTGTCCAGATAAATGCCGGCTTAAGACGGTCAATACTAATGACAACTTGTTTTTCGTTGACCAAAATTTTAAATGTTTTTTCATTTCGAGCTAGCACTTGATGTGGCCCTAAAAATTCTGATGCGAGAGCAGGCTTTGAAGCATCGCATCTGAGAAAAACATGAGGTGAGTTTCTAAGTTCTTTATGCATGAACACAGTTTGTTTGCAATGAGCGCTGGCAGGAACTGGTCGCAATTTTGACATGCAGTTTCTAAGCTGATGCATGAATGTAACAGGATCTATGTTGCAGGCAGATGGATTGGCTGTATGTACGAAATCCCCAGGCAAATGGAGATTAGTACCATATACCAGTTCGGCAGAAGAGGCATTCAGATACTCTTTTAATGCTAATCAGACCTAGAAGTACAATAGGTAACACATCAATCCACTGTAATGCAGTGTGGCGCCAAATTGATTCTTTTAAGGAGCGATGAAATCTCTTGACAATTCCATTGGAACTTGGATGGTAGGGGGTGGTTCTCACTTTGTAAGTGCCCAAGTACTTACTTAG